GAATAGGAGAAGATGAGAGTAAGTTGCAAGAGATCCGACATTCGAGACGTCTGGCTCGATACTGCTGCTACTACTGGCTGCACATGCGGGTAGTCGATGCAACTAATCTCGGACACATTTCGAAGGGCTTTGTAGATGATAAATCGGGATTTTCCATGAATTCAAAAGTAAATAATGAATCTTTTCTTTTTCTTATTGAAAAGGAATGAATATTTCATACAATGACTATTAATTTTAATTGATGTGGGGAATCGAGAAGCAATTTTTACGACTTACAAATCCATAACATCATTAAACACAATTGGCATAATTATATAATATTCGCAATTATTTTCTCATTCGGCAATAAAAGAATATATTTACACAAATTCGAAAAATCAATTAAAACACATTGATATACTAGTTATTCTAAGAATTCAACAAGGCTTCACTCCCTGACGATAGTCATCGATGAATGGCTAGTACACGCGATTACGAGAAGGCAAGTGAGCCGAGACTTTCCGAGAAGAGCTGCGAGTTTTCATTGATACCGGGACTAGATTTAGGGCGGTACAATCGCGTTTCCCCGAAACGAGTCTTGAAATTAGGGCATGCACATTTTATTATGTACTATGTGTGTATGTGTGTGTGAAGGTGCGTGCATGTATTAGTGCACAATTCCGAGAATTCGCGGCCCAGTGTCGTTGAGTCAATGAAAGGGTGAAGTCACTGTTCTGTGAATCGCCCGACGAACTGAATAAACCTTGTAACCTGTAACTCGAGCGTGTCGTACCTCTCTCCCGGTTTACCAGAGCCACGTGCTTCTGACATTTAGGAAGTAATTTGATTAAACAAATTTCTGAGAACGTTTTAAATATTATATTCTCCTGTGCCTATAAGGACGATATTTCGTAATTGTCGCAAGTGTATCGTGAAATTTTTGTATGTTATATGAATATAATAAAAATATTAGAAAATTAAAAAAGAAATGAGCACTATAAAGAATCAATCAAAGAAACTAATTTTTCATATAATTTAAAAGATTAATTTTTCGAAAAATGTTTATGTTTTAATTAGCTTCAGTGATTAAAATAAATATTTATTTTAATATCAATTTGATCTATTTTTTTCATTTTATCCATTAGCCTTAATTGTAATATTTATTTTGATTAATGATATTTTATTTGCATGAATTTTTCGTTTTCTATATGACTCATTTAGAAAAATGTTTGGCCAGAATCTTCTGGGAATTTTGCAGCTAACCGTCGCTTATATATTACACATACAATCATATTGGTCTTCGTTATCGTTTCCCATTTGTTATCATACGTCATTTCATGAATTATCGATTATGCAAGCTTAAACAGACGATTGTATTACATAATTCCGTCGTATAATTTAGTTAAATATTAACTAAATATTAATGCTACACCAAATAAATGATTTTGCGTAGAAATATACGAGATGACTGCAAAAAATGTACGTATAACAACAGCGCGATAATATTTAATTCGATTAATATGAAATATAAAATGTATGCACGAATTTAATATATCGTTTATCTGTTATATATACACACATACGCAACTCCTCCATTTATAATATTGCAAATATTGCAAAACTAAAATATTTAACTTACTTAAAACTATATGATCTACGAGGATGTAGTAATTTAAATTTCACGAGCGTTGAATAGGCAACAAATTCTATTTTTCAGGAAATTCAAGTAATCTTCTACTCGCGCGCGCGCAAACGGAAATTTAATTTCAGATTTAATTAGCAAGATATTCGATGTCGGAGATTAGAGAGTTTGAAACTAAAATGAAGGAGTTTCCGCATTTTCGCTAAAGACAAGTCGACCCAAAGCTACGTTCGAAAAAATATTTCTACTACTGAACCTCATCTTCTACTTGCCAGTATTGTTTATACATGAATGCGATGGCAGAATATTCTTTAATCCCTAGTTTTATCATTTTATAATTATTTACGATTATTTTTTATGTATTTATATTACCTCGAACGTAATATTCATTTTTAATCTTAAACTATGCCAGCAGTGGCTTAGCGATTTCTGATTAAACTACGGCTTTGTTTGATTAGAAGTGCTAATATCACTCAAGTCTTGATGCCATCCGTCACCGCGATTGGCTAGAATACTTCGAGTGGCGTCAGTCAAAAATCGGAGACGCGAATCACGAAAATCGGAACCTCGCTGAATTAACTATTAGCACGCATCGTTATCTCGTTACGATAAATCTCGCGACGACGACCCTGTGTTATGCGTGGACAGATTCCGGCTCATTGTGCGATGCACGGCGATCCTTGAACTATAACATTTCGCCGAGAAACGATGTAACTTACATTCGGCCTCGAGTTGTCCGATAATTGAAGGAGAAAATTGTCCATCTTCGTAGAATGTACACGTTAATATACATATATGTAAGTAGCATATAAAGTAATTCTATAAATTCTTTTTGTGCAAATAACTCCATTCATCTGCATTCTTAATCTATAAATGAGATCGTGTTAAACAAGCTAATATATTTATTTACTTATATATCCATCTTTTCTTAATTTAATTAATAAAGCACTTTATTTGCGCGATCATATCACGGTTTAAATTCACTTTAATTAAGATATGACCTATGCTACTTTCACGATAATGCTTCTGAGCGTCCTATTCACAGTGCGACAAGCAATCTTCTTTGCATCCTGCATTCTGCATTTACCTTCCTTAATACCGGTTAAAGCCACGTTATGTCTATATCCAATGAATTGTCATCGACATTTGGAATGTTAACCCCTTCGAGGAAGCATATAAGAAGAATTCGTCTTTTTAAAGGAAATGTCGAAAAAGAGGGTCTATGCTCGCGTCCTTATTTCCGTGAAAGCTCTTCTCCATTGAGGTATTTATCGTGCGACGAGCAGCTCATTTCCTTACGTCGCTCCGGGCTTAATAAATCAGGGAAGGTGTCCTTGTCAATAGTAAGGTCAGTCGGGGCGACTTTGCGTCTCCAGCATTTGCCAAGTGGTAGCAAAGACGATGGTAGCTGCGGGTACAGGAAACGTAAAGGGAGGATTACAAGAAGGGCGACTCGAATCTCTCTCTTCCTTGAACGGGTCAAAATATACACCGAGAGAGAGGGAGCTATACGCATACGCGTATGCTACTCGTTTCAAAGCGTTGGAGGTCACGAAAAACTGGAACAGATACTGGTCATCTAAAAAGTTTGAGATTTTCTATTCGGCACCGCAATCTTAAGTTTAAAGATAACTTAGAGAGTTATTGTTTCAAATGTTTAATATTATTAAAGATTTCGATTATTAAACGTGTCAAAAACATATTCGTATTATCGTGTTTTTTTTTTTTTTTTTTTTTATTTTATCGTTTATTTAAAATATTAAAATTATTAAAAATTACATTAATTGTCATCAGCCACAAATTTGAAGACGGAAATGGATTATAAATTTTGAAAATAATATTACTTGCAAAATATAAAAGAAGTAATATATTAATAGCAAGAAAATAATTTTTTTTAATCACGATTGTGCCAAGATGGATTTAAATAAATGTTTCAAATGCAAGATGGAATATGTTAAAAATTATTAATAAATGATAATAATTTAACTAACATTGCCAAATATATTATTAATATATATTCTGTTACATCAATATTTTTCTCTTTTAATTTTTATAATAATAACTCATTTCTCATCCGCGCGCGCGGGCGTTATAAGCCACCATTAACTGATGTATAGTCACGAGGAAAAATGTTCACTATATGACATTTTCTCACAAATATCGTTCAATTTCCACGTCAAAATATATACTCTGAAAACGATATTGCCGTCTTTCTGCGGCGCTTGCAATAATTCACGAAGATTTAACTACGAAACTGTAGAGCTTATTGTTAGCCATATTCGTCCACCTACGCCGCTAAGTACCGGAAACCATCCGGGTAAATCGAAGAGTCACGTTATCCGCTATCCGCGTGTATATTTGATTACGGAGTTTTCACCTACGCTCAATGGTAAATGTCAGATAATGAAAAAGTTATATTTCCAGTTTGTTAAAGTACATTAACCATGAGCGATGCAAACGCTACTCGAAGAATGTAGGCGTTCTTGGAAAAATGATGTTCAATTATTGTTTCATTCTTTGCTCGACGTAAAGATAATTAACATGTGCTCTGCCATTTAGAAGTCTGATTATCATGCACAGTTATAATGGAAGTAAAAGTTCATATAGTAAAAGTTATATAATAAAAACAATTTTATGTTATTATTAATACTTACGTGTGTTTATTAAGCAAGTATAATTTGAGAAATATTGTTCCAAACGTTTTTCTCGTCATTAATAACAAACAAAATATATATATATATATATATATATCTTTGTTTGTTAGTTGAAACTTTTTAATGTGCTGTAAATATATATATATATTAGGTTTCTTAATTTTATAGAATACCATTATGTGTGATATATCATTGCTATTAATAATATAATTTTATCATACAATATCTCTTATTAAAATTACATATTTATAACAACTTTTATAATAGGTATGTCACGTGGCACTCATGTTTACTTAGATACGGCGCGACCAATTGTGTTAGCCAAATTAAATGGAATTATCCGAGCCGTTAAAAGTAGGTTACGGATCCGCAAGTGATAACACGACAGGCCCATAAAAGTGTTCTGCCTAACCCTAAGGGAATCTACGAGTTTCATTATCTACGAAGAATTTAAGGCGTGTACACGCATAGCATTTATAGCATGGTTCATAAAAAAAAAGACTTTTGACTTATCGATCCAGCCACTAGGCTTTAGAATGACACAAAAACGCAGCGACATCGTTAAAAAAATTAAATTTACGTCATTTTCACATCGTTGTCAGTAAAATACGTCTCTTTTCATATTCGGAAACATTCTGTAAGTAGATGAATAAAAAAAATGACAGACATGAATAAATGATAGAAAAAAATACTTTTACATGCAAGAAACATTGACATGTTGTAATAACTATGGCAATATTGTGAAAAAGTATCTGGAATGTTAATCAGATCATATCTACTTGAAATAGGAAATAAGAAATACTGTAAGAAATACTTTATATAATGATTGCAAAAAATTACACCATATTTTCATAAGTCTAAGAAGAATAATTGCTACTTCAATGTTATAATATTTTATCGTTATTTAATTTATCTGCTAGCAAATTGTTTTTAAGTGACGCTGTATTAGTTGACAATATATCATCAAGACATTCCAAGAAACTTGCTCTGCACACTACGATATGTTTAATCGTACAATTGTATTACTTCTAGAAGTTTCTATGTATATTCGTCCTAGATTTTTTAAAATAAGCAGGGATACATTTGTGTTTTATATTCTCAAGATAAATATAATTATTTAAAAAGTCGCAGAAAACATGTCTATTTTTATTTTGTGTCAATCATTGTAAATATTTTTTATAAAATAATTTTATGTGTGTTTCATATAATATTGAATAAAAAAAAAATTTTATAATATTTGGCATCAATAGAGATGCGCCTATTATCAGACAGTCTGTATCAACTGCCCTTTGCTGAAGGTAGGTACCCGGTGGAGCAAGCAAGTAACTATATATCTATTGATCGTTCATTCATGTGCCGCCCTTTCGTCCTCTTAGCCCCTCGTTGCCCCATCGAGCGACTCATCTCCCTCCCTTCTATCCATCCACCGCCATTTCCACCACCCCTGTCACGAACAACGTCCACCATCGCGGTTCCATCGACGTCGTCGTTGTTGTTACCACCGACGCCGCCGTCGCCGTCATCAGTATCGGATTTAGAGGCGATCGAGATGAACATCAGTTTTTTTGGAGTGCTAAACGAGAGCATATTTCAGCTGTGCTCTGGCTTAAATAACATATCTCTTTTATTTCATCATTAACTTTTTTGATTATCATGATATTATGCTGTTATATTTTCGCAGATTTTTCATTTATGTAGAAAAAAAGCTTTTATATTAAAAATAATATTTACTCTGTTAATATAAAAAAAATATTTAGAAAAGATTATATAAAAAACATTTAAAAGAAAGTGGGTCATTATTTTATTTCAAGATTAAAATGTTAGTAAAATGTAAAAGGTAATTTTTGGAAAGACCTAAAATTAATCTTGAATATCAATCAAGAATTTTCTTAAAAAACCATTCTTATTAAACTGATGTCTAACTAATTTTTAAAAAAATATAAACTTTACTCGAGCTAGAAAGAGGGTTGGATGGATGGATTTAAAAATTCAGGGTGCTGCTGTACTAGTAGCCAGCTCTGGTCGTCGTCCTAGCCTACAGAGGGAGGTCGGGCCTGCCAACTGAAAATTCATCCCTCGTAAGCTCCTCACACGTGGCGCTTATCTACCTACCCCCACGCTTGCCAACTCCGTAAAACTAACGGAGAGCCTGAATGACCGTGATTTACATCGATAAACGTGTCTCGAAAAATGCGTAATATATATTTCAGACATCGCTAATTCATCACTGCTATAGATGAAATTATTTGATCTCAAGATGTAAAAAGGAATATTTTTACATCACTTATCCATATCATCAGATTTTAAGGTATCTTCAACAAATTGCGATAAGTTTGTACTTTGTAAAATTAAAATCGTTATTTACATATTATATCGCAATTATTTTATTAAGCTCCATGCTATATAGACAAAAATATCATTAATAAATATCATTACTATTATTAATATCTTGGACAAAATTTTGTCTAATATATTGTCTTTAAAGATTTAAATAAAAATATAAAAAGAATGCATGATTGAAAAAAAATGACGATGGAGTTCAGCATCGCGCTTTTGCACATTCACGTTTTCCTTATCGATGAGAATTATGGCGTGGAAATTATTGAATCGCGGGGACACGGCAGCACGCGAAAAGCGGGTCGGTCGGTGCGCCAGAAATTGATTTGTCGCGTTCGCGAGCGTTGCGACGTGGCGCGTCGCCTTCTAATCTCGTCGCTAACATTCGCTCGCGAGCGCAATTGGCTTCCTTCGCGGACGCGGTGATTCCTGAGTCCGCGCGAGCCGAGGGTCCGATCGATTTGATCGAGAAAACCGGATGGTACACGAGGGAACGCTATTACGCGAGAGAAGAAACGACCAGCCGGCACGATCCGGGCCATCATTCAATTGAAAGTTACATAAGGCCGGCGTTTACATGACAATAGAGCCAGCTGATGTCTAATAAATTAGTCCGAGTAAAATTGAGTAAAAATTAAGATTTTACGTAATCAATTGTTATAATAAAGCTAACCAAATATACAACATGCTAGACTAATAAAAAAGTATATAAAAATAAAATAGGACGCGTGACAAAATAGTCAGTCAAGTTTTGATAAATATGTGTGAACAAAATTAAAGCAATCTAGTTAAAAGCATGTTAACGAAGCTATCTAATATATAACATTATATCATAAAAGAAATAACTTTATGTTCTCTTATAACATATAACATTAGAGAGTTTATAAGAAATTTATTTCAAAGTTTAAAGTATCAAGAATCAAGATAAAATGTCACTTGAAATCATCAGCCTGAACTCTTTTGACCTTTTGAAATTGATATACGAAGGTAAAGCAAACAAAAAAAGTAAATATCAATAAAAAAAGTAAAGCTACAAAATTTTCCATGCTTTCAAGAATAAAACAAGGATGACAGATCACAGATAAGAGAGTTATTGTTTAATTTACGTGTTTACATACGCGGCAACTCTGATGTAAAATTAATCTACTTATTTTCATGAAGCTAAAAACCTTTAATACTATTATGGTGATTTGTGCCATCATCACGGCCATACGGATTAAAATTGTAAGGTTTCGTTCTTTGTAGCGCGCGCGCAAAATTCGAAGATTCGTTGATTTTACTACACATAGATCAGAATGACGAATAATGTATTTTAGTTATTGAAATAAAATATCATTAATATCTATAAAGAAAAATGTTTAATAATATTTAAAATAATGTTTAATAATATTTAAAATAATATTTAATTACGCCGTTGATCTTAAGAATTGGAATAAAATGAGAAATTATAAAATTACGCGAATGGCAAAGACTCTCATCCAAATAGAGATAGGCGAATTATTCAGGTAGCAACATCTGCGAATAGCATGATAACAGATTAAATGTGTCGTTAGGACACACACGTAAATATCTCTGTCAAGAGCGCAAAAACTGGACTATTTCGTGAAATACACGCGAACGATCTATAGCACGTCGTGACCTACTGTTTTAATGAAAGCGATAAATACACGTAAAACAAATTCCCACGGTATTAAAAAAGGAATAATAATAACTCGAAGAATTACTCTTTATATGAAATATATTAACTCCCTATTACGTTAATTAAAGATTTAAAACAAAAATTTAAAACGAAACAATATGCTATGGTCTTAGAAAATTCTTGTTCGTTAAAAAGAATCGAAATGACTAGCACAATAAAATGCCTTCTCCTTCCAGACTTGTCCGCTTATTAAAGACAAAAAGTTGCTATAAAAATTATTTTTTTTTGCGTTGTTCAAAATTTTTCCCGAAAAGAATATCGGATAGAATTATCGATAGAACTTAAAAAGAAATATATTTTTTTATTAAAATATTTTACATTATAAAATATTTTATTAAATAATTATTGTTAATTTGATTATTATTAAACTTAATATTTGTATGTTTTTTATTAGAAAAAAAAAATTAAATTAGTGAAAAATATATAATCTTTTTATAACCAGTGATTTACCAGCACTTTTTTACCGCCTGGCTGACCATTATTGACTGTATCTACTGCCACGCAATTTAACTTTAATATAATGTTTTATCAAATGAAATATGGAAATACATGTAATTTTATTAGTTTTTCCTGTTAATATATAGATGTTTTCAAATTTCTAACAATGGTTTGCGGCATTGTTATCTTGAATCCTTCGCTCAACACACACAACTCAATTAATGTTTCTCCGCTCAAGATGACTCATCGTATAAAACGAATTGACTTACTAAGTCAAGGAATCTTACTAAGAATTAATCTATGCTTTCTCTAGCTTTCCTATCTATCTCTTTCTCTTTCTCCCTTTCTCTGCTTTTATCTTCAGCAAATTTTTTCCCTACGCCTCTTACAAAAAGTCGAAGAATTGCTCCCACAATCACGATCACGCATTAAGAGCATTCTCCTTACTAACGTTAAGTAAATCTAGAAACGACACTTATAAATACTTTCCGGAGACTATGACTATAAATATGATGATTAAAATTTAATTTTTCTTAAACAGATATAAGATATTAAAAATATTAATTATTTTATGTTGTGTGTGTATGTCCTTTACAGAAATTTTTGAAAATTTGAACAAATTTCAAGATCCAGACAAAAATTTTTCTTGCAAGTCCAAACAAAAATTTTTCTTAAAAATATGGAAATAAGGTTTTCCTCCTTAATTAGTTTAGAATCTAGACAGTTGCGGAGAACGAAGAAAACAAAGAAAATCCACGAAGAACAATGTGAGATAAAACGCACCAAAGAGAAGTGTCGCACCAAAAGGACGCTTTCATATCTTTTATGAATCTCCTTGAGAAGTGTTCTGTAATGTTTAACTGCTTCATTTAACTGTTTTATTGACGAAAATGACAAGAAATCCCAATAGTTGACATGTTAAAAGCGCGGTAGTATGGATAAAATAAAAAATGCATTTAGTTTAAAAAGATAGAAGGATAGAGAGAAAGAAAAAATTATTCACTTCATTTTACAATCATTCTTTCCACTTTTCTCAGTTGACTAATAATAACATTAGCGAAAATGTATAAAGAAAATAAATCATGAAGTAGAACGGAAAGAGTAAAAAGAGAAGAAAAACTTCAGATTTTTCACTCTGCATAAAAATGCAAAATGTGTACAGTGATAATAAAGATAAATGGTAAAGAATAACTAAATGAGAGAAATAATACAGCTTCGAATATATAACAGAAAGGCAAAAAAAGAGAACTGATATCTGAGTATATTAAATCACTTAAGTAAACACCTAAATAAATTTTCCCGAAATATAATATAATTTACAGCTATTTGCACTCTTTCAACGTAATCGACTAAAATTCGAATTTCGACGACGTTGATAATTGAATATATGTCGGTTGTAAGTTTTCAAAGTTTCGTATTTGCGTAATTGAATAACGTGTACTAGTAGAACGGCTCTTAAGAATCGCATATTTCTGCATTAAATCGTAAAGATGTGAGCAAGAAATATTAGAACAAATTATTCTATTATGTAAATGTAGAACTTGGAAAAGTCATATTAGCACAAACACGCATTTAATTGTCAATTACCAAAGTTTGGACCATAGTATGATAGTTAAGGTGAAAAAGGAATTATTAACTATCCATGGAAGCAACGCTGTTTAAGGATAATTTCCTCTGTTTAGCACAATATGCCTAAACAATAATTTATTCTAACAATTTAGATAAATAACTATCATCCCTCCAAAAGTGGTTATATGCCATATAATATCATTTCCAGAAAATTAAAAAGATTTTTTTATATGAATAGTATTATGTATCTTATAATCATGTATTGCTACAGCATATGTGCTCCCCAATTCTTTTTATAGATTTTGTATATTATTTTCATTAAAAAAAATGTATGTATTGTTATTTAAAAACCAGAATTTTTACCATGTATTTGTTTAATTCAACTTTTAATTTTATATTGTATTTAGCACGTCTTGAAAAAATTGTTTTATTTGATTCTAATTAATTTGTTTAGCTGTAAGAATTGTAAGGAATGTTTAAAATTATTCACATTATCGCAATGTGACGATTTCATGCCGGATCGGATTAATGTTAATAATTACCAAGACCAAATACCTCAAAACGAGGATGAGAGCACTGTGAGCACTGTGTCGCCCTCGTAGTGCGTGTATCCAATCGTTAAGAAAGCCAATCGCGCCAAAGAGCACGCGTAGGTTAATAGATGATAAAGCCGGTTTCACGCATATTATCATCGTACTATAGAGCTGTTACATTATAAGTATATTGCATCGAATGAAAGTCACTACATAGAACTATAATTATTTTACTGATATATACAGTAAATCCAATTCCATAGAAGTCAATAATTATATGAATATTGAACCTCATAATAGATATTGGAAAAGAAAATGCAACGCGAAATTGAGGTTTCCAACGCGCAATTATAATTATATTATTGATGATGAAGGATTCTCCGAATAACACGCGACTGTGACGTTGTAATCAAATCATAAAACATGATACGTCATTGCTCAACGTTGCCATGAAATATTATCGCAAGATATTTCAATATAATTAGATCAGTATCACGACAGATAAACTATGAATGACTTTGCGAATAGCATGAAACTAATATAAAAACAGAATTTATACCGATGTCTAATATTATGTGTTGTGTGAAACCAGCTTAAAGGTCAGCCTTTAACCCAAACGTGGCCACCGTGATGGCCGAGAGATCCCAGCCAACGAGGTGACGAACAGACGAGCTCGTTGACGTTACCACGGATGGATTTGTTTAATTGGATTTCGCGAATCGGACGAATTCATTAAACGGGCATCTCAAAATGGAATGCGAAATTTAAAGCGAAACAATGAGCAAAAAGAAATGAGAAAGAGAGAGGGACAAATATCCGCTCCATTTCGCTGAACTCACCTCTAGAGGGAGGCAGGGGCTGGATGCGGCCATGTTCCTACATGCGTTCGAGCCTCTGCCCCGGTGGCGATCCCCTCTTCTTCGTACTGTCGCACCACTTTACAGAAATGAAAAAAAAAGAATAGATACAAAGACGAATTGGCGAACTGCACACTGCACACTCACGACGGCACCCCGGCGATCGACGTGCACTATAAACCAACCCCCCTTCTTCGAAACACCGGCGAGGGGTGCGGGCAGGCGAGGGAGGGGTGGAAACGGGGAGGGGAAAATAACACCAACGCAGCACCTTTTGCACCTCTTTCTTTCTTTCCTCTCTCTACGCTTCTTCTTTTTCGCCCGAATTATTTTCTTGTTTCACGACAACTAACGACACTCTCCGAGAGAGGAGATAACAGGAACGGAAGAATGAGAGTAAGAGAGAATGAGTGAACAAGTGGGAAAGAGAAGGGACAGACAGAATGAGCGAGAGAAAGAAAGAGAGAGAGAGAGAGAGAAGAGTGAAGAGAGGGGGGATCCTCTCTCCCGAGCCCTGAACTCTCTCAGATTTTTCGGAGCGGGCACCACAACCACCGGCAGCCACTATCTTCCTTTTCTTCTTCCTCGTCTTCCACTTCCTCGTCCGCCGCCTCTCTTCTTCCTCTCCTTTTTCCTCGTCGTCGACGTCGTCTTTCCTCCCTTTCGAGCCTCCCTCCCCTCTTCCTCCCTCCCTGCGACGCACCAGAGCACACTCTCGGCGGTTCCTCTCGCAACGGCGAGGAACGGCTAGCTGCTTTGCCTCCTGTGCCGCGTTCTCGTCCTCCTCTTTCCCGTCTTCCTCCTTCTCTTCCTCCTTCTCCTTCTCTCCTCTTCCGCCTCCTCCCCGTCCACGTCCTCCTCGGCGGCGGGCACTCGTCTTCTTCTTCCTCCTCTTCGTCGTCGTCGTCGTCAACCGCCACTGTACCACCGTCGCATAACAAACACTCCGGCGACCGTCACGGTCTCGACGGCACTAACGCGAGGACGAGAGACAGAGACAGAAAGATAGAAAGATAGAGAGGAGAGATAGGTAGAAAGAGAGACAGATAGAAAAAGAGAGAGAAAGAGAGAGAGAGAGAGAGAAAGAAAGGTAGAAAGAAAGAGAGAGGGAATCGAACGGCGAGAGGCCGAGGCGAGATTCGCGAGATTGATTGAGGAGAGAGCTAACGAGCTCAACGCTTTCTCTTTCTTACGAGAGCTCGACGTTCACGAAAGTGTGTTTTCTCTCTTTCTTCTTTTTTTTTTCCTTACCGAGGCGCGGTACACCCTCGCGAGCAAGAGAGAGAGAATAACCCCTCTGCGAGTCAACTCCGCGCAAGCAGCTTTCGGCAGCGGTACCGAAAGCACGATCCGAATACGAGGAGAACGAGAGTGAATGGGCCCGTTTTTCGTACGAGCACAACCACACTAACTACTCTTGTTCTTCCTTCTTTTTTTCTGCCTCTTTCACACACCTGGCGTCACTTCTTCCCTTCCTCCTTCCTTCTGTTTCTCTCGCTCGGTATTCTCTACGTTTCGTCTTTACCACGCGATCGTCTTCTACTTCAACTTCAACGGCACCTTCCCTATAACTACAACAACCCCTGTCCGCTTCACTCGGCCGGAAGTTCACACACTACCTACGTTCCCCGAGCGTCGGAGCTCGTGGCCACAGCGGGACGGTCGCTCGACTACGCTCCCTCGCTCTTCCACCACCACTCGACCACCGTTCTCGCATACTCACTCTCTCGGCCCTCACCGTCATACCCTCACCGCCATCCCCTCGCATCTCTTCTCACCCTCCGTGTCCCCGGCGTTTCCACTACCGAGTCGCTTGCCATCCGCCCACCCTTCGCCCGTTCACTCATCCTTGTCGCGCCGACGATGCCTGTTTTCCTCGCCGATAACTTTGGCCGCCATCTGAATATCGTTATCTCTCTCGCGAGTATCTAACTATCACCGGACCATCTCCTTTCGTCGCACTGACGTGGTCTCCCCGCTGCCGAAGTTATCTCTCGCTCGCTCCAACGACGTGCAATAAGATTGTCCTCGTTGCACAGAGTGAGCTTCGCTCGCTTCTTTCTAGGAATTGTCGTCCCTTTCCCTCTACCAGTTTTCATCCCTTGGTATAATACTCTCCTTGTCTCTTCCGCCTGCACGATGTTGGTTCCTTCTTCGTCTGACCTTCTACTGAATGTCTCTTTCTACTGGTCGAGCTTGCGCTCACTTACACTCCGGTGTGTAAGTCCCTCTCCGTTGCGCTTACGTATTAACCCCCATTCGGAGGGCACCAGGACCGAACTTTCTTAAAGCAATACCCTGTGGCTGCTTTTAAAGCATGTCTCGAATGGTTCTATTATATTTCAGCATGATGCGCGTACATATAAAATAATTTTATTTAATTTTTCTTTCCTTGTGAATCATTGCCTTCCTGTTGCATTCAAGTTAGTTTATTGTATTAAATTAATTATGAATAATTATAGTACTAAGTAATATTATAAATAATAATTATATTTGTATCTATTAAATAATAATTTGTCTATTAAATAATAATTTATGATGCACAGATGTTATTTATATATTTTAAATATTATTTAAACCAGGATGATTCATTATACATAAATATCTAAGTGTTAATAATTTTTAAAAACATTCAGTAATTAATTTCTAAAAACACAATATTAGAAAATATTTGTGAGTTTATTGCGGATTAAATACCGCGATTACTACCTCAGGTTGTGTTAAGTTAATAGGTAGTGAGATAAGTTTTTCTGTATGTTCTTGATCATGAAAACACAAACGAATGAACTACGAGATATTATGTTGGAAGCGATAGAGGTATCTAAAAACTTGTAATACACACAACAAAACAATTATATTAACGTTTATGGCAAAATCGATGGCAACAAACATTCAAGAAGTTTGAGTAATAATTTAAATTATATATAAAACATTGCATAAGAGAAAATATTTTACTAAATTAAAACAAATGTTAAATTATATTATAAATGTTATATTATTTTAGACATTAAGATTATTAAAATGCGCATGTAAAACTTAAGCTTAGAGATAGAAGACATTATGACAGACGTATTATAAAATTTGTTGGGAGATAGAGAAAGAATTTTCTACAGATTGTAATATATTTTCCATGTTGTTATGATAAAATGATAAACAAACATTATATTACTTGATAACGCTTTCTTCCGCTTAATTGACTTTTTGAGCAAGTTACCATCGTGCAACGCAGGATACTTTTTTACTCGGGCAGTATAAAAATACACCCTTCCTCTCTGATGGTATTAATCTCCATTTATCTATATGTTTAGTGAGTTTAATTGGCGGGCTTTTTCAAAGCTCGACCTGTAATCTTGTTCTCTGACGAGGGACCACCAGGTGTCACCGTTCGCGAGCCCAAACGCACCGGTATACATGTAAATTCGCGAGCATGCGTGAGCTTTCGCTCTCGTTTGTGTGCGTCGAACCGATACCGCCGGGGGTTGCCGGTGCATGCGCCTTCTTGCCTTCCGAGAGTAGGGATGGGCTTATTCACGTTACACTCGCGTACGCCGCGAGCTTGGGACCCCGATCTCCACGATTTCATTTGGGAAATTCATTAGGATCGCGCGATCGTATCGAGATTGTCGAGACGATCAAGCGATCGTTAAGATGATCGCGCCAAAATACGATGGGGTAAAAAAGCGCCAGGAAAAGGGATGGTTCAACGTTCTCGATACGCAAGGATCGTTAATTGGCTTTGCCTCGAACGAAACGAGGTAACGGCCTGGGTCGCGACGTTGCTAAACGGCCGCGATAAATTCTGGCACCTCGTTATCTGATGACCGTTCTCTTGACACCCTGTAGAAAGGTAACCGGAAGTCCACGCGCGGCAGCCGGAGATCATCGTCCACATCGCCGTAATTTACTCATATAGAACTTAATTAATTGGACGTGGAGCGAGCTTCATGAGAAGATGTTTTCATATGGAATATTTCTTACAAAATTATATTTGTGAAAAATTCATTTATTCTTTAATGTAAGAGAGAGAGTTAATTATTTTATTAATATTTATTAAATGTAATTAAGTGTATAAACCTAACTATTAAAAGAATGTTTATTAAAAATTAATTATTAAAAATTATTTTTTAAACATTATTAATTACAAAGAATTAATAAAAAATATGAATAAAATATTATTTGATAAAATATATATGTGATTATTGTCTGAGAAAAGAGACTTTTTAAAATGTATTTATTCTGATAAATTTAATTTTCAAGTATATTGTCTTAAAAAGGATTTCCGTAGCTCTCTGCTATCGCATGGACAATGTTGGATCAACAAGGACTTAGAATATTTGGTTGCCATGTTGCAAATGAGCTTTAATTACGAATGTGTGCGTGTGTGTTGTGTGTGTGTGCGCTTTGCCATTTCCATCAAAAGTTGCGAGCAATTCTAAACTATATATGTATATATATATGGTCAAGAGTTCATTTAAAGTTGCTCTGATTAACTTCCTTTCAGATTCTTTGATAAGTTTCAAATTAATTTTATTTTTGACGAAAATTCGATGGAAATCCTTTGTCAGTGACATGCAATACTGGATCTTAAATAAATCGTTTAATTTTAATTTTAATTGTGTCTATGAAACAAGCAAACAATGTCATGTAACGCTGAAAATTAAAAGGATTGCATTTAGCGTTAAATGCGTAATATGAATCACAAACCCCAATCTAATTAGGCGAAATAACGGCATAATAATATCGTTAATCGTAACTCGTTATTACCGAAGTTCGGAAAGGCTGCTGGTGCGCGCGGCGCACGAATGTGGAACAGTAGGTCAGCGCCCTCCGTGACCCCCGCCTGCCGCGGCCTACCCCTCCTCGGTGCATGCACCCTGATGCGATACGTACGACCAAGCGACCGACCGACCGACCAACCAACCAACCAACCTCCTGCCAACCCCATCCCTTCGTCCGATCACTCTCGGCACCCTATTTCTTCCTCCCGCTCGTCGCTTCCCTGCCTTCTCCACCTGCAACGGTCCCATCGTCTCATCCCGCGACCGATTGCGTTATCGTGCGGATGAGTTTGCACGATTCAGTTTTGACGGTTGAGTAGCTGAAAGCGAAAGAAAGGTATATCTCGTAAATGATGTTCCCAGGGAAACAATCATTTCCGTTAAACGACTAAGAAAGTCGAGTCAGTTCTGTTATCGATGTTATCGTAGCATTTGAAGGTTTTTCTTCACATAATACACTCTTAACGATTGTTCTAAATAGCTTAAAGCAAGAGAATTGTTCATCTTCTTATATAACCTTCTTATATTACCCTTCTTTGAAATTAACTATCTTTTTACAATATTTGATAGAAATGCCTTCAAATTAATTTGTATTTTATTTTTTTCATATCTCTTTACACATACACACACATATCTTGCTCGGCCATGCCGAGAGCGTTAAATCATTCCGGACGTATCGACGATTCTTTTCCCTCGCGAGACTCGTTCTTTCCGCCTGCGAAACCGGAAACCTGTCGCGTTGATACCGGAGTTACGAGCCATTTGCCGAGGCGAGGATTCGGCACCCTCGCCACGTACTTTAAGGTTCATTCGCGGAAAATCGATTTGCCGGGTCGCATTCCTCCGAGGAAAATATTGCCTTGTGCCGTCTCCTCTTCTCTCTGATGCGCACGCTCGTCAGATTTTACGTTCCAGTAAACGCGAGATTATTGTCTGCCCTGCACACATATTGTTGACAACGGATCGTCGACAACAACGAGCGCGGCAATAATTTTCAGATATTACAAGTCGCAGCAATATTACATCGATGGAAGTAAGAAAAGTTTCGAAAGCTTTTTGAGTACCGAACAAAAGATCGATATCTCTCATAAGTTTGCGATTTATTTTTTATTATCTCTCGTCTATGTGTCTATAAAATTTTAATTAATGTTTTTATCATATGCTAATTAACAATAATTAATAAAACTATTCTAACTCACTTTGGGACGGACAAATATTGTAACGTTACTCTCTCATTATGAATAGCTTTTAGAACTTATTGAACAATAGATCAAATTAGCTTTTATACCGAATAATTGCCATAATTTTCGCCAACCTAATATGCAAACTTTCTCTCGACTTCGCTCGACTTATCGTCATGGAACGGGTCCACGTCAATGTGCCCCCGCATATTAAAATTGACGATGTTTGACGCGCCGAACGTTCATTGATTTTCGATGCCGATCGTTTGAGCGAGTCAATTTATAACTCGAGAGTACTACATTATATAGTTATATAGAAATTTTCCTATAGGCCAATATAATTCGACCTCGCAAAATAAATGCAACAGCTGCAAATTATACGAAAGCTATTTTGAATAAAGTTGTGCAAGAGCATATTACAAAATATATATGTATTTATTTTAATCATAATGATGATTCATAACCATCAAAATTTTCAATCTCAAATATATGTATAACACAAAAATGTTGATTATTTTTGCTGTAATAATAAAAAATGTTCAGAAAATGTATTTATCATTATTGTATTATATTTCGATGTATATTTTATAATCCTTTCTCGTTTCTCCTCTTTCCGTGTATTTTTATTTTTATTTTTATCTTCCTCTTATCCTTTTAAACATTCTTCTCTTCTCGACACCCTTTTTTTTTACAAGGTTTCTCTTCCCAATTTTCTTCCGCTCCATTATCATCTAATCTTTACTACCTTTCCAATTTCGCCATTTAAACACAATTCCATGCCGTGACCTCCGCTTTAATTCCACGCAATCTACACTTCCGCTCTTCTTGCTCTTCGCGCGA